AAAACGGCCGACAGTTTCTTTTAACCGACCCTCGTGCCACGTACAACAAACAGGTGAACTCTATTTCACCATGGCGACTTTATATTTGTTCAGTGATGCGTTATGCGTCACCATAAATTTGTTTATCTACTTTTTTTCCCCACAAAACTGGTGATACATGTCACCATGTAACTAGCTGAGGAAACGTAATGGGCAAATCTGTGATACCATTTCGATAGTTAACATACGGGTTTTCTTTTTCTTTTCGTTACTTCTACCTATTTTACCACCACTATCAGCTTTTAAAGGAATCTAGCGAGTCTACAATCCAAGACTTTAGATAATTATTTAAAGAAACAAAACTTTTAAGGCTTTTCTTGTGTATTAACCACAAGGCTGATTAACTAACATTTTTTTTTTTTTTTTTTTTTCCGATGCTTTGGTCAGACTTTTCCACAGATTTGTTCTACAGGATTGTATTCGATTAACTAACATGATTAAAATTGTCTACCCCATTATAATCAAGTTATTTTCTTGGTAAGTAGCATCAAAGTTTTAATGGCGAGGTGCGATTATTTTTTCACAGGTTTTGAAAGACGTAATGGGGTCTATCAAGATCACTGCCGTTTATTTATTCGCTGAAAATAGTAATCGATACTCGACCTTTTACTCTCTTGGTATCGATCTCGACCAGCTAAGGGAAATCTAAAGCGCCGAATTCCCGATATTTTAGAGTGATTACTCTTGTTTTGTCAAATATTTTATAAATGTGTCTAAAACGTAACTTGCGGTTGATAAATTACTGTTTGTTATTGTGACCTAGGCATAAGATAGAACTGTGTGGTCATCACCATGTCCAACCGCCTGTACTATCATCAGATGAGAGTGGAGTGGACATAGTGACGACCAGAACACTCGAGTCTGGGTGAACCCCCCCCCCCATTGACCCCCACCCCTATATATATATATATATATATACATATATATATATATATATATATATATATATATATATATATGTGTGTGTGTGTGTGTGTGTGTATATAAATGTTTTAACCCCTCCCATGACCAATTCCTGGCTACGCCACTGGCCATCATGAATCGCCAGGTCTAAAAACTACTCGGTTTTTTTTCCTTAAAACAAATTTGTTGTTACAAATGTAAATTATATTTTGTTTCGTTTTTTTATCAAATTTTGGAACTCTGATGCACACGCAGTGGTGCAGAGGATGAGGAAATCTTTATAGGCTATTAAAAATATGACATCTTAGATGTTCTAGAAGATTCTGTCAGTTTGGCTTGATATATAATGTCTGTGTTTAATCAATTGGATAGGTACAGAGGCAAGCTGAAACATGCACACGGCACCGCTGATTGTTTGTTCTACAGAACTAAGGAATTGTTCTAGACAGAACAGAGGAAATTTAATAGACAGAACTGAGGAATTGTTCTAGACAGAACAGAGGAAATTTAATAGACAGAACTGAGGAATTGTTCTAGACAGAACAGAGGAAATTTAATATTTTAATAGACAGAACTGAGGAATTGTTCTAGACAGAACAGAGGAAATTTAATAGACAGAACTGAGGAATTGTTCTAGACAGAACAGAGGAAATTTAATAGACAGAACTAAGGAATTGTTCTAGACAGAACAGAGGAAATTCAATAGACAGAACTGAGGAATTGTTCTAGACAGAACAGAGGAAATTTAATAGACAGAACTAAGGAATTGTTCTAGACAGAACAGAGGAAATTTAATAGACAGAACTAAGGAATTGTTCTAGACAGAACAGAGGAAATTTAATAGACAGAACTGAGGAATTGTTCTAGACAGAACAGAGGAAATTTAATAGACAGAACTGAGGAATTGTACTACAGAACTCAGGAATTGTTCTACTGAACTGTGAATTGTTCCAGACAGAAATGAGGGATTGTTCTACTGAACTGATGAAATGTTCTAGACGACGTTTACACTCCTAGAGGGAGTGGGAGGGGGGGGGGTGGGATTTTTGATAAGTGATAAGAGAATGGAGAGTTGGGGGTCGGAAAGTGTGACGACACACTTTTGCAATTGTGCAGATAATGGTAGAAACTGAATTTGAGCAGTTTTTTTCGTATTGTAAATGACACTTGTGAATTGAGATAAAATTAAAATATTCTCCATGACTGAGCTCAGTAATTATTTCAGAATGAAAATCGATGTTTAAAATTAATAATTATCATTAAAAAAGTTTTAAAAAACCCACGTTTTCTGATTGAACTAAAAAGTAGAAAATAAATACTATACATCACAATAATGCAAGCGATCACTCTACTATAAGCGATGAAAAACGTGGGGCGCCGAAGTAAAAGTTTTTTTATCGGTCATTGTTAATATAAGATGTAAAAGTTATATTACTATTGATTAGATAATACTATTGACTTTTATTATGGAGCTTGTAGAGAGTCAACAGTATTAGAAACTGTAAGAAAATCACGGCGCCCCACGTTTTTCATCGCTTATAGTAGAGTGATCGCTTGCATTATTGTGATGTATCTATATATATAATTCTCTTCTTCGAGCCGTTAGAAAACAAGCTGCAAACGTTCTCCCTACCTCCCCACCCCTACATGGTTTTAGTGAGCTGTGTTCACTCTAAATGTTTACAAGCAGAGCCAACGATTTTAAACGTAGGGGGGGGGGGAAGGAAGGGGGGGGGGGGTTATGGTCCTTAACGAGCTACTTATAATATTTTAAAGAAATATTTTCAGTGTCAGCGTTGGTACTGTCGAATTCACAAATTATGAATTATTGAAAATTAGAAACAAGTAAATAGCGGCGTATGTTATTCCGCGGGCCGGCTCGTAGTATTTATTTTCTACTTTTTAGTTCAATCAGAAAACGTGGATTTTTAAAAACTTTTTTAATGATAATTATTTTCTACTTTTTAGTCTTTGTCTGTTTGTTTGCATTAAAATCTTGCTATCGATTTTATCTTTTCGGATTCACTTTTTTTTGGGTAAACGAAGACAACTCGTAAAAAACACGTGCCTTGAACCCGTGTCGAGTGGGTTAGCAATCGTGTGCCCAACCACTCGACCATATCGTCTCCCCCATACTGGCCAGCAGTTGTTACGTTCGGTTGTTTGTACACAAACACCGCGTGACTACTACTCAGTAAACCAAAAGAGGGAGAGTAACGAACCTTGTTTTCATCAAATTACAATTACTGGGTTATGTCCCCTTTTACCACGTTTTTTGTACAAATATATAAGGGGTCAAAAATGATCAATAAAATGTTTCCATGGATCAATTTAGTAATAATAACAATTGAATATTCTACTGTCATCGGAAACAAAGCTTCCCTGAAAATTTTAGCGCGCTAGCTAACTGGGAAGTGCCCGAAATTTCGATCGCAAGATTTGATTGGAGAACCAAACAAACAGACGCGAAAGCAAGTTAGAGAAAACGTGGGAAAAATACGATTTCGAGAAGGGCTGTAGGCTGAGGTGTGACGTCTGCAGAGTTTCTTCCAGGCATCTCTTCGGGGGGGGGGGGGGGGGGGGCAAAGCCCCCCCGAAATTTTTTTACCGCCCCCCCCCCCCCGAACGAAATGAAATTTATATAATTTATATAGAAAATATATACTTTTAACAGTGTCCGCCCCCCCGAAGAAAGTTTACCGCCCCCCCCCCCCGAAAATTTCAAGTGCCCCCGCGGAGAAAAAAGTCTGGAAGAAACACTGGACGTCTGTCTTCTCGTAACGAAGTGTGACGAAGTGTGACGAAGTGTGACGAAGTTTAACGTAGTGTGACGAAGTGTGACGAAGTGTGACGTAGTGTGACGAAGTGTGACGAAGTGTGACGATGGAGCGGGGAGGTAAAAATCGTTTCAAAAGGGTGACAACTTTTATAGCTGGCCCCTAGGCTAAACTAAAAACAACTAGAGACATTTTTCTAGACTAAATCGACGAATGGTTTTCATGTTGAAGACAAAAATCTCTCCTCATTGCCAACAACAGTTAACATTCGCTTGACGTCAGTGTAGCGCCTCCGTCCTATTGTTCCCCACCCTATGCCTCCAGACTAAAAACACCCCCACACACACACCCCACCCCCTCATTCGATGTCTTGTGGACCTTTACACTGCTTAAGGTTACAATTAATTCACCTGAAATACTTCCGTTAAGACTTGGTGTTAACTGATCATTAGATAAATTCCTTCCACTCAGTTATAGGCATAACCAGAGGCATATTTTGTGGATTTAGTACCACTTGCATTGGTGGATTGTGTGGAACTAGTACCACTCGCAGTGGTGGATTAGGTGCCAAGTGGTGGATTATGTGGATCTATTGTCACTACCTTGTGTTCCCTGTGTTCCCCAACCTTGTGTTCCTTTCATACACCTTCCTTGTTTGCCCTATGTTCCCCTTACCAGGTGTTCTCTCTTTTCTCTCTAGTGTTCTTTCTGTTTCCTCTATCTGGGGTTCCCTTTGTCCCCTACCTTGTGTTCCCTTTGTTCCCCCTATCTTGTGTTCCCTTTGTTCCCCCTACCTTGTGTTCCCTTTGTTCCCCTACCTTATGTTCCCCCTAACTTATGGTCCCCCTAGTGTTCCCCCTACTTTATGTTCTCCCTTACCGTGTGTTCCCTTTGTTCCCCCTACATTGTGTTCCCTTTGTTCCCCCTACCTTGTGTTCCCTTTGTTCCCCTACCTTATGTTCCCCCTAACTTATGGTCCCCCTAGTGTTCCCCCTACTTTATGTTCTCCCTTACCGTGTGTTCCCTTTGTTCCCCCTACATTGTGTTCCCTTTGTTCCCCCTACCTCGTGTTCACTTAGTTCCCCCTACCTTGTGTTCCCTTTGTTCCCCTACCTTATGTTCCCCCTAACTTATGGTCCCCCTAGTGTTCCCCCTACTTTATGTTCTCCCTTACCGTGTGTTCCCTTTGTTCCCCCTACATTGTGTTCCCTTTGTTCCCCCTACCTCGTGTTCACTTAGTTCCCCCTACCTTATGTTCCCCCTACCTTATGTTCCCCTTACCTTATGTTCCTTCTCCCTCTCCGCCAGCTTCTGTAGACTCCGGCTCAGCTCAAACGCTGCATAGATGGGATCGTCACATGACAGGGCTAAGTAGGCTGTGCTGGCCAGACCTCGGTAGGCATTCAGCCTTGACTTGGAGTGTACAACTCTAGAAAATCATGTACACGTATATAATATATATATATATATATATATATATATATATATATATATATATATATATATATATATATATATATATATATATATATATATATATATATATATATATATAAAATATATATATATATATATATATAAATATATATATATATATCCCACCTACAATTTATCGACACTTCATATTGTTGCGGGGGTCGGGTTGATAACGTTCTACCCCCCCCCCCTCCCCAATCACCACCGGCCTAACGTACCTGTCAAAGTTCTTGTGGTTGTAGCACTCGGTACACAGACAGAAGTAGTTGTGCGGGGTCTGGATGGTGAAGCCCTTCTGGATCAGCATGTGGACGATGTCGAAGTTGTTGCACTGGGCGGCCAGCACGATGGGCGTGATGTCCGGCGCGAAGCTGGAACTGCTGTCCTCCTGCTCGTAGAAGCCGTGCTGGAATTCCAGCTGATGTTAAAGGGGGAAAATTGGTCGAGTGGACATATAGACATACATACATATTCGTTTGGCTGGGGTTTATGTTAGTTCTACACTAGATAATTTGGGGAAAATTGGTCGAGTGGACATATAGACATACATACATATTCGTTTGGCTGGGGTTTATGTTAGTTCTACCCTAGATAATTTAAGCTTGGTCGAGTGGACATATAGACATACATACATATTCGTTTGGCTGGGGTTTATGTTAATTCTACACTAGATAATTTGGGGAAAATTGGTCGAGTGGACATATAGACATACATACATATTTGTTTGGCTGGGGTTACCGTTAATGATAGTTTTAATTTGTTTTAATTTAGGTAATTTGGGAAGAGAATATGTAGAGTAAAACCAAGAGTTTAACTTATGAATAGGCTTCGGGAGCAGGTAGGATTAACGGTAGATTTTTTTGAGTAGGTATATGGATGGGTTTAAGTTAGTTTAGGGGTCGGATAGAGTTTGATACTAGTAGTATGAATATGTGGGTATGGTTAATCGAAAACGAAGCAGCGAATCAAAGTGGCTATAAAAGTCTGATTCGCAATAACAGAAAAAAACAAATAGTAGCATTTCAAAAGTTTTGGATTTTATGGCTACCTTCGAAGTAATTGCTCAAGTTATTTAGAGAGTTTATGCATTAAAACAATATGTTTATGATATGGTTAAAATACATTAGCTAGCTGTGTACATAGTTTTCAAACATCTCAAACAACTTTAAAAACAAATGTACAGGTCAACACGTGGGATGCTTGACTGCCAACCCGATATTCGGACCAACACACGTCAGTGCTGACCAACACTCATGTTTACACACTCGCACACCTCACTACTGAACGAACAAACATGCCTATTGACTTCACTAGAGACAAAAAAAAACATGGCTATCTAGTACCAGCGCACATACCTACCGACTAGCAAAAGCACACTTCCGTACTGAACAATGCACATCTTTACTAACCAACACTTACATCTACTGACCAAAACATTTACTGACCAAAGCATCTACTGACCAAAACATTTACTGACCAAAGCATCTACTGACCAACGCACATGTTTACTGACCAACACCTATATATCTATTGACCGTCCCACACGTTCACTGACCCCCACACACGGACACTGACCCCTCCCCCCCACAACCATACGGCCACTGATCCTCACACACAGCCACTGACCCCCACACACGGCCACTGACCCCCCACAACCATACGGCCACTGACCCCCACACACGGCCACTGACCCACACACATGGCCACTGCCCCCCCACACACACGGCCACTGACCACAACACACATGGCCACTGACCCCCCCCCACACACACACACGGTCACTGTCCACACACACACACACACACACGGCCACTGACCCTACACTCACACACGGCCATTGACCCTCACACTCGGCCACTGACCCACACACACACGGCTACTGACCACCACACACACGGCCACTGAACCTTATACACACACACACTGACCACCATACACACGGCCACTAACCCACACTGACCATCACACATGGCCAATGACTACCCCACACAGCCACTGACCCACACACACGGCCACTGACCCACACTCACACAGCCACTGACGCACACACACATATCTACTGACCCTCACACACGGCCACTGACCCTCACACACGGCCACTGACCCTCACACACGGCCACTGACACACTCATACACGGCCACTGACCCACACACACGGCCACTGACCCACCACACACGACCATGACCCACACACACGGCCAGTGACCCCCCCCCCCCCACTGACCCTCACACACGGCCACTGACCCCACACACGGCCACTGACCCCCCCACACACACGGCCACTGACCCACACACACATATCTACTGACCCTCACACACGGCCACTGACCCCCACACACGGCCACTGACCCTCAAACACGGCCACTGACCCCCACACATACGGCCACTGACCTGCATCCTTGACCTCTGGTCTGAGTAGACCGGATGTGCCAGGAACATGTCGCAGATCTTGACGTTCTCCGTCTTGATTGCGTGCAGCAGACCCTCCTCGATGACGTCAAGTCGCGACTTCTCCAGCAGGAGCTGGATACAGTCGTAGTGCTCACCCAGCACAGCCAGCTGCAGGGCCGTGCGGCCAAGGTAGTCCCTGGTGAAGGTCAAGGTTATCAAGTTACAGTCGTTGTGTGGCCCATCTTATTATTACCAGTAGGTGTCGTTTTTATTCAAGATTGCTAAACACGTATTTGGGGCGCCAATAGCTGCTAATTATCAGATCAAGTATTTGGTACGCCTATGGCTCAAGATTATTAGATCTAGTATTTGTGACGCCTATGGTTCCAGATTATCAAGTATTTTGTCGCCAATGGTTCCAGATTATCAAGTATTTGGGACGCCTATGGTTCCTAATTATCAGATCACGCCCTTCTTTTATCGTTACATGGCCACCTATTTTTGAAAAAAAATAACTGACGTCATGTTGGGGAGGGAGGGGGGTCGCTACTTGTGCTACTAGACTGCCGTGCCTGCAGAATTCTACCTTGGGAGTTCACCGTTAATCACGGCCGGGTTAATTTGGATGGATCGTACGCTAGGCCATTAACAACTAAAAGGTTCTTTAATGAAAACATGTAACACCTAATTAGACCTCATTAATTATGAAGTTGATTAAACATCGTTTTGATTTAAATACCTTTTCTCGGCACCAGCCTGCACCTTAGTAATTTTACGCGGGGTCACCAGACAACTCCTCCCCCCCCCCCCGCCACACACACGCACACACACATACACACACACACACACACAAAAGGCGCAGATATCAAATCGAACTAATAGCTCTTTATCTAAAGTCAAGGTTTTAAATTGAAGTAAATCTTGAAATATCTCAAGCTCATACGTTGACGGATGGTTGTAGAGAAGATAAAATCGAGACCAAAGTTACAGGAAGTTAATGTACGATCTTCAGCACTTAATTATCTCCAACAAAAAAACTGATAGGTGCAACCAGCTACAGTTTGTTTAACTGAAACAACGTATTGATATAGACAGTGATGTTCCAGACTTTTTTCTCGGGGGGGGGGGGGGTGGAGGGGCACTTAATATTTTCGGGGGGGGGGGGCGGTCTACTCTTTCCGGGGGGGGGGGGGGGCGGACACTAGTAAAAGTATATGTCTACTATATAAATTCCATCTTGTTTGGGGGGGGGGGGGGGGGCGGTAGACTTTCTTCGAGCCCCCCCCCCCCCCCTCCCCGAAGAGATGCCTGGAAGAAACTCTGGATATAGGTCCAAAGTCCCGTGGTTTCATGTGCTGGCAAAACTAAACACAGTCAAGGCATCATGTTGCTGTAGAAACTAAACCTAAATGAATATTAATATCTTACATACGTTAAACCTAACCATAAATAAACGTAACCCTAAATCCAGTGGCGTCACCAGGCAGATGTGGGGGGGGGAGCGTGACACTATTTAATGTTTGACATCCCGACGAAAAATCGTGAAATTAACCGCCAAAACAATGTTTTATCCATAAACAAAAGTATATAAAAAGAGATAACAAAAAAGTAGGGGGGGTGACACGGAGCATCAAATGGAAAAGTGTAGGACACCATCAGTTACCTGATAGGGTGACACCCGACACCCGACAAAGTGACGCCACTGCATAAATCAATACATAAATCTACACTTATAACTAGCCCTATACCTGTTTCTAAATACATACCTTAACCCTAAATAACCGGATCCTGAAATAAACTTTAACTTTTTATATTTGTTATATCTAATTATATCTAAGTTACAAGCGTCCCTTTATGTCTCTAATCTCTTCTTTCGTCCATCAATTACTTACAGCCAAACAGACCACAATAGGTTGGCTAAAAAAACACCACCGCCGTGTTTATCAACAAACCAAGGCCTCATTAACTTGATGAAAACAGCCGAGCAGTCTATTTATTGGTTTAGCGCCCTGGGCTAGTTCGTTCAAAACACGATTAACATTTCATTAACCCTAACCTGCGTGCCGAGACCTGTGTCAGCGGTTTAACTTGGTTGTGATGGTAACCACGTGATGATCTTCAGACAGTCAGAGATAGATAGTCGATAGTATTTAATAGTTTAGTCTACAAATAGGTTGTAGTTTAGGCTATAGATAGATGATAGTTTTCGATAGTTTAGTCTACAAATAGGTTATAGTTTAGGCTATAATTATACGATAGTTTTCAGTTGTTAGGTTTACAAATAGGTTATAGTTTAGGCTATAGATAGACCATAGTTTTCGATCGTTTAGTCTACAAATAGGTTATAATTTAGGCTATAGATAGACGATAGTTTTCAATAGTTTAGTCTACAAATAGGTTATAGTTTAGGCTATAGATAGACGATAGTTTTCAATAGTTTAGTCTACAAATAGGTTATAGTTTAGGCTATAGATAGACGATAGTTTTCAATAGTTTAGTCTACAAATAGGTTATAGTTTAGGCTATAGATAGACGATAGTTTTCAATAGTTTAGTCTACAAATAGGTTATAGTTTAGGCTATAGATAGACGATAGTTTTCAATAGTTTAGTCTACAAATAGGTTATAGTTTAGGCTATAGATAGACGATAGTTTTCAATAGTTTAGTCTACAAATAGGTTATAGTTTAGGCTATAGATAGACGATAGTTTTCAATAGTTTAGACCAGGGGTCTCCAAACTTTTCAGTCCGAGGGCCGCATTAACTATCAAATTTCAGTTCGAGGGCCAGTTTCTTCCAGGCATGTCGTGACTTTCTGAGCAAGTTCCTCAGCCTACTCCAACAAACGTTTTTTTCCGTGGACAAAAAGATCTCCGCGGGCCGGATGAGAGGACCTCGCGGGCCGCATCCGGCCCGCGGGCCGTAGTTTGGAGACCCCTGGTTTAGACTACAAATAGGTTACAGTTTAAGCTATAGATAGACGATAGTTTTCAATAGTTTAGTCTACAAATAGGTTACAGTTTAGGCTATAGTATAGATGGACGATAGTTCGGTCTATAGATAGACGATAGATTTCCATTGTTTGCTATAAAAATAGATTATAGTTGGTCTATAGATGTAAACAGTTTGGTCTATAGATGTAAACAGTTTGGTCTATAGATGTAAACAGTTTGGTCTATAGATAGACGATAGCTTGGTCGTTATGGACGATATTTGGGTCTATTGATGGACGATACTTTTATGTATAGATATATCTCTACATTTTTAAATCTATACAGACAGATAATGAGGGAAGAAGGAAATGGAGTGTGAGAGGAGGCAATGGAGAGATGGAGAGATAGATCTAGTAGGAAAGAAAGGGGAGGGGAGAGAAAGAGTGTGGAAACTGACAGAGAAGAAAAGGGGGAAAGGGGGAGAAAAAGAGAGGTTGGGAAGACAGAGAAAGAGAGAGAGAGGTGGGGGAAAGAGAGAGGTGGGGGAGACAGAGCGGGAGAGAGGTGGGGAGAGGGAAAGAGAGAGAGGTGAGGGAGACAGAGAAAGAGAGAGAGGTGGGGGAAAGAGAGAGGTGGGGGAGACAGAGCGGGAGAGAGGTGGGGAGAGGGAAAGAGAGAGAGGTGAGGGAGACAGAGAAAGAGAGAGAGGTGGGGGAAAGAGAAAGGTGGGGGAGACAGAGCGGGAGAGAGGTGGGGAGAGAGAAAGAGAGAGAGAGGTGGGGGGACAGAGAGCGGGAGAGCGAGCTAGAGAGCAAAGAGTCACGTGTTACCTGCAGCTGAGGTTGAACGTGCCCGACTCCTCAACCAACATCTCCAGGGCCGGCAGGTTCCCGCTCTGTGCGGCCCACAAGTACCTGCGTTCTGTGTCTGATGTGGGGAAAATTCAATATAAATATATAGGGAACATTTACTATAAATATGTAGTGAACATTATATATAAACATGATGATTTGGTGACCAGAAAGATGCGCAACGGAAAAAAACGCAAAAAAATTACGCAACGGAAAAAAGCGCACACAGAAAAAAAGCGCAAACAGAAAAAAGTGCTTTTTCTGATTGCGCTTTTTTCCGTTGCGCAGTTTTTTGCGCATTTTCAGTTCCATGTGTCTTTTTAGGAATGGGGAAAGAAGATGATAGCGATGTTTGGACTTAAACATGATGTAGGGAATATTCAACAAAAACATCACATCGGGAACATTCGTAATTACTATGGCGATATATAGAAAACATTCGACATTTAAATGTCGATGTAGGGAACAGTCGATAACATGATTATATAGGGAACATTCGATATAAACATGATATAGAGAACATTTTATATAAACGTGATGATGTAGGAAAATTTGATATAAACACGATGATATAGGGAACATTTTATATAAACACGATGATGTAGGGAACAATCGATATAAACATATTGATGTAGGGAACATTCAGCTGGATCATGGGAACGTGTAAAAATACACAAAGCCTAATAAATACTCGTCAAACTCTCAATAGTGCCTCGCCTTAACACTACTCATACCCCCCCCATCCTAAAAACAGTGCACGATAAAAACAAAAGCTTTAGGTGAGCGCTTGCCACATAATCTCGTGGTGATCTCCTACGTCATTAGATTCTCGGTAATTAACTTCAAGTGTTGGCTAACTGCGCTTGTCATTATATGTAATTATAGGTGTTTCTCTAATTAATTTTTCTGTTCGACTACTCTTTCTAAAAGTATGCCACGTGTAACTGGGGTTATTTGAGTCGTAGTCTCATCCTTATCTTCAGAGTCGTAGTTATGCCAGCCCTCTCTACATAATAGTAGTAGTCTCATCCTTATCTTCAGAGTCGTAGTTATACCAGTCCTCTCTACATAATAGTAGTAGTCTCATCCTTATCTTCAGAGTCGTAGTTATGCCAGCCCTCTCTACATAATAGTAGTAGTCTCATCCTTATCTTCAGAGTCGTAGTTATGCCAGCCCTCTCTACATAATAGTAGTAGTCTCATCCTTATCTTCAGAGTCGTAGTTATGCCAGCCCTCTCTACATAATAGTAGTAGTCTCATCCTTATCTTCAGAGTCGTAGTTATACCAGTCCTCTCTACATAATAGTAGTAGTTTCATCCTTATCTTCAGAGTCGTAGTTATGCCAGTCCTCTCTACATAATAGTAGTAGTCTCATCCTTATCTTCAGAGTCGTAGTTATACCAGCCCTCTCTACATAATAGTAGTAGTCTCATCCTTATCTTCAGAGTCGTAGTTATGCCAGTCCTCTCTACATAATAGTAGTAGTCTCATCCTTATCTTCAGAGTCGTAGTTATACCAGCCCTCTCTACATAATAGTAGTAGTCTCATCCTTATCTTCAGAGTCGTAGTTATGCCAGTCCTCTCTACATAATAGTAGTAGTCTCATCCTTATCTTCAGAGTCGTAGTTATACCAGCCATCTCTACATAATAGTAGTAGTCTCATCCTTATCTTCAGAGTCGTAGTTATACCAGTCCTCTCTACATAATAGTAGTAGTCTCATCCTTATCTTCAGAGTCGTAGTTATACCAGCCCTCTCTACATAATAGTAGTAGTCTCATCCTTATCTTCAGAGTCGTAGTTATGCCAGCCCTCTCTACATAATAGTAGTAGTCTCATCCTTATCTTCAGAGTCGTAGTTATACCAGTCCTCTCTACATAATAGTAGTAGTCTCATCCTTATCTTCAGAGTCTTAGTTATACCAGCCATCTCTACATAATAGTAGTAGTCTCATCCTTATCTTCAGAGTCGTAGTTATACCAGTCCTCTCTACATAATAGTAGTAGTCTCATCCTTATCTTCAGAGTCGTAGTTATGCCAGTCCTCTCTACATAATAGTAGTAGTTTCATCCGTATCTTCAGAGTCGTAGTTATGCCAGTCCTCTCTACATAATAGTAGTAGTTTCATCCTTATCTTCAGAGCCGTAGTTATGCCAGCCCTCTCTACATAATAGTAGTAGTTTCATCCTTATCTTCAGAGTCGTAGTTATACCAGCCCTCTCTACATAATAGTAGTAGTCTCATCCGTATCTTCAGAGTCGTAGTTATGCCAGTCCTCTCTACATAATAGTAGTAGTCTCATCCTTATCTTCAGAGTCGTAGTTATACCAGCCCTCTCTACATAATAGTAGTAGTTTCATCCTTATCTTCAGAGTCGTAGTTATACCATCCCTCTCTACATAATAGTAGTAGTCTCATCCGTATCTTCAGAGCCGTAGTTATGCCAGTCCTCTCTACATAATAGTAGTAGTCTCATCCTTATCTTCAGAGTCGTAGTTATACCAGCCCTCTCTACATAATAGTAGTAGTTTCATCCTTATCTTCAGAGTCGTAGTTATACCAGTCCTCTCTACATAATAGTAGTAGTCTCATCCTTATCTTCAGCGTCGTAGTTATACCAGCCCTCTCTACATAATAGTAGTAGTTTCATCCTTATCTTCAGAGTCGTAGTTATACCAGCCCTCTCTACATAATAGTAGTAGTTTCATCCTTATCTTCAGAGTCGTAGTTATACCAGCCCTCTCTACATAATAGTAGTAGTTTCATCCTTATCTTCAGAGTCGTAGTTATACCAGCCCTCTCTACATATTAGTAGTAGTTTCATCCTTATCTTCAGAGTCGTAGTTATACCAGCCCTCTCTACATAAGGGGAAGATTCAAGTCTTAAACACCTTACCAATTTACCTATAGCTACACCAGTGCAATAAGGGGTTAAGAACCAAAAAAAAAAAAAAACTACGCCATTGATCAACTGTACCAGTATCAATAAATGGTAAATAAACACGGGGTGGGGGCATTTGAAACTTCGATGGGGCACTTAAAATTTCTGAGGGGGGGGGGGGGAGAGGGGGAGGGCGGATACTGGTTTTATTTTGTAATATTTTGTAAAGTATATTTTTCTTTCTTCTTCTTTTGGGGGGGGGGGGGAGTCGGGGAGTCGGGGAGACGTTTTCCTGTGGAAAGATGACTTTCAGAAACTCTGCGTCTGAGTATGAACTGAATATACAGCAATGTAAATATGGCTGATAATACGATAACAGTATTTTCTTCCAGATATCAAGTCTCCACGCAAACCTTCATAAGTGCTGTTAATGAGATAAACATTACTAACACGACTTGGCCTGTTTTCTTATCGTATAAATAACGCGTTACCTGTGAGTGGGACGTCCCCAAAAATACTCCTGGTAGCCTTGTCAGCGTCACTGTTGTCATGACGACTTCTCTGGCGTTTCTCGTGCATATCATTATGCTCGCTCCGGGCCTGCCCTTGTTGCTGCGAATTAATGTCTTTCCGGTTCTCCCGAGATAACTTCCGGCCTGCGTTAAACGACCTTCGGAATCCGAAAGATGAACGGCTCATGGTGCGTCACCCGCGGTGTCGTGACGTGGTCGGTCCGGCAGATCGGGTCCGGCACTCCGATCTGTCCGGCAGAGAGTGAGGTCAGTCTTGTGTCCGGGCATGGAATCGCTTGTAAATACTCCGGAAGTGACGTAATGCTTAGGAAATATCATTAAAGCGTTTGAACATGAACTTAAAGTTTAACTGATTAAATCTTAATATTTTAGACTTCAGTTGTTTTTTTAAACAAAATTCGAAATAAGTCTGCGTATCGAAATAGTTAATAAATGTACAGGACTAGCTTCATTGTTTAAGTTACTTCATAATTCAATGAACCATTTTATTTTTAAAAATATTAATGATTCACGAGAAAAAATATAGAATAAATTTGTTTTGGTAAAGGACTACTTAAATTGTTTTTAGCGTAATTAACTTGTATCAACTTCACTATAACGTAGTCTTACGTCTTGAATAAAGAATTCACATTAGAACTTAGCCAAGTTCGATATTTTAAACATAAACATCACAGATAAACTTGTGATAACTTATGGATGAAAAGTTGTTTCCACGGTAATACTATTAGTTTTCTTTCACATTGTAGTAATAGATCGATATTAGTAGGTTATATGTTGGCTAATTCTATTTATCGAATCCTTGAAAATCCCAGCCTGTAACGAATAGAACACAACGCACTCGGAAGAAAAAGTTGCTTGTTTTAAAAAGATGCTGGATCACTGAGAGTGGCCGCACTTTGATGGCAACTCATTGTTGGCGGTGCAGCATCGCTAGTTCACTCCCCTTCTCAGCGTCTTTTGTTTCGTTTCTCTGAGAAGAAAAACAAGCATTGCAATCAGTTTTTTAATTACAACGTAAAGCGATATACAACTGGGAATAATTATTTATTTTTCTTTACCAAAATATAATAATAAAACAATATACCGAAAATATAATAACGGAAACTTAGTATTTACAATTTAAGTGTTCCACAGTTTCATTCTAAAATAAAACTCAAAAATAAAACTTTAAAATTAGAATTAAAATTTGAAATCTGAAACATATATTTTCGTCGCTTAGTATGTAGTAAATCAATTAACTGCGCTAGTTAATGAACTGTAGAATATGTGTTTAGATTGTGATATCTTTAATGCTTCACTATCTCTGATGCTCTCTGTAAAGACAGACTAGTAAAGCCCAGAAAGTCGACTACTGCTCTGAAGGTGAAGCCGCCCTCCTTTATGTACCCATCTTGTCGCCATCCATCAGCCACGTCAACGCCGGGGTTCCCCGTTTAACATTATTTGTCGGCAATTTGGCAACTAACAGCTACACAAGCTACAACAACATGGGGGGGGGGGGGGTCTGCTTGTAAATCTGGCTTTATCTGATAAATGGCCGTTGTTGTTTTAAAGATTGGAAGATATGTTTGGTAGAGCCTCAATTCCAGACATCGGTACAGTATGTTGTATAAAGATGTGTCTGTTAGAGACCCATTTCAAGACACCAAAACAGTCTGTTGTATAAAGATGTGCTTGGAAGAGCCTCAATTCTAGACAACGGTACAGTCTGATGTATAAAGATGTGTCTGGTATACCCTCATATAAAGACACAATACAGTCTGTTGTATAATGGCGTTAAGATTTTTTTTCCAGAGCCCCAATTATAGATAACAGTACAATCATTTGATAGGGACGATTATAGGTTGTAGACGAGCATTTTCCAATCCAGTTGTATACACATTCTTGGCCCACAGTACAGTTGCTATTGTGGCCACTGATACTATCTAATTCCGTCCAGTGGCCGAGTCGTCATAGGAGGAGATAACGTGACCGGGTCCTTTTGCAGTGGGCAATTTTGTCGGGAGCCGTGTGGTCGCGGTCCTGTTGTTACAAGACTTTAAGAGGAAGTCTTTTTGTCGAAGACCCTCTTGTTTGGGCTATATTTGATAGGGCTTGCGGCCGGGAATGTATTGTTTGGGTTCGTTGATTATTGGTATAGTTAAACGAATCAATTCACACTGCGTCTTAAAACAATAAGAGTATAGCAGATAGCTGAAAACAATTTATTCCATTAATCATTCTTTCCTTATTAAACCTCGCTACAAATTGCTCTACACAACTTATATCCAAGGATCTCTTACATAAAGTTGTTAAGACGATTTTTACCCTTGCTTATTAACACTTACTGGTTCCAAAATTATAGTTACCCATTGATAAACAACTACTTTAAACGGTAATTATAATTACACATTTAATTATGACAATTAAAATTAACCATACCGCCAGCACCTGATGAATTCTGTGTCGGGATTAAAGCCAAAAGTAGACGCTAAAAACTTGGACGTAAAATACATCTCCTGGACAACTCATAAATCTCTTGAACAAATAGTACAAATCTCTCCCCCCCCCACCCCACCCCAATCTCCCCTATATATCCCAAAGGTTAAAAGAAACCTGGACTAATCCCACTCCCAATGTGAGATTTATATAAAGAAAAAGCAAACGAAAACAAAAATAAAAATTAGTGTTAAAAATTGTATCTGATGCTGATTATTTTTATGAGTATAATAGTACATGATTGGATAATTCATTGTCAGAAAAAAATTATCAAAGACCTCCTAATATTAATCAAGAGGCGACAGTCCATAGACAGGGATACTCTAGCCCGCAAATAGGGGTGAACTGGTCTTGTGGTGAATATAGAAGATAAAAACATCGCGAGACAAGCGTTGAACAAAAAACCCAGTGAATAAGAGAAAAATGGGCCTGCCTAAATAATCCTGAAGAATGACTGTTAAAGGTATATATATATATATATATATATATATATATATATATATATATATATATATATATATATATATATAATTGTCAATCTCACTAAAATGTGCATTCTGTTGGCTGTACTATACAACTTTAAAATGTATAGCTTTATATTATTTTTAACGTTATGGTTATTCGCCCAACACAGTTAGCAAAACATGTTTTTCTTTCTGTCATATCTACAACGATCAAAATTAAACGCTGTTCCGACTAAGATGTGCCCACCCATGCAAGCAAAAACACAAAAAACGCACACAAAAATGCGCGTCAATATTTAAACCTGCGGTTTTGCCAGATTTTTCTGGGCGGTAAAGTCTGGAACAAATTCCGCGGTTAAAGATCAATAAGATGTACAAGCGACAACAACAGGGGGATTTCCTTTGAAAAAATCTTGGCCGTGTACCCATCTTAGCCGGGATGAAACGTTGTATATTTCTAGGCTGTTGATAGGGCGAGAGATATCAGCATGGAGTCTAGGCTGCAGTGTGATGGAAGGATTAACATACAGCAATAGAATGGCTTCATGTTTGTTAAACACTACAGTACTACATGAATATATATGGGTGTGTATATATATATATATATATATATATATATATATATATATATATATATATATATATATATACATATATGTATGTATATATATATACATCTATATATTTATATGTATATATGTATATATATATATATGTGTATATATGGAGTCAAAGTTCATTATCAGGAATTCTACAATAGTTCACATAGAGCCTGGCTAATAGAATATTTGACATACCCTATATATATATATATATACATATATATATATATATATATATATATATATATATATATATATATATATATATATATATATATATATATATATACACGGCATGAAAAAAGTCAAAGTATACTCTTCAAATAAAAAAAATGACTTCTAGAGAATTGATCGAAGTGCCGAAAAGAGGGATGATTAAGTATAGGTGAGAATGTGTATCTGCCATTGTCGGTTTCTTTTTTTCCCCCGCCCCCCACCGCTTTCTTTCTCTTTCTCACTATGCTCCTTTTGTTTGTACAATGAAATTAGCGCGCTACCTAAGCGTTAGACTTAGTTTCTAAAAAAAATGGTTGCAAGGTGTTTTTTTGTTGGTAAGATATAAACAACTTACTGTATGTAGACTGCACGGTAAAAACAAGGACGATGTTTTTTTGTGCTTAAGTGTTATTGAGAAGCCAATTAACTTTTAAAATCTTTTTGTTTTTCGTGTAAACGATCCAGAATTTTTTAAGGTGATGAAACACGCACTACACAACTCATTTTGTGTACATCTCAAGCCTTGTATCTAGTGATGTTTACATATAAATCGCCCTCCAAACCAACCCCCCCCCCTACCCCACCCTACCTCCAACAAACACCTATACAATACGCATTGATTAAAAAAAAACGTTGGGAATTTAAAATTAAATAATGGAAATTCTATTCGATCAGATTCGATTGCTGCATAATTATCTGAAAAGACGAAGTTTTTTTTAAAAAGTGTAATACAGTGTGTCCACTTATTCATCCAACTATTAAAAGCAGAAATAAATATGGAAGTAAAATGAAGGACAGTTTTGCATAATCACCCACATAATCCTTCTAGCACTATGAAACATGAACAATCGTTTAGTACCTACTTATTATGTAGGTGCACGATCTCAAAGTATTACAACAATACATGAACCACCGTTTAGTACCAACTTATTATATATTAGCTGCACCATCTCAAAGTATTACAATAAAATAAACTTTGAGGGAAATCTATATTTTAAAGCTAATACTTTGTCTACCTTAAAGTTCTCATGTTATCGTGTTGGAACTCACGCAAACAGACAGGCAGACACACTTACATACAGACAACGCTCAAAAATTGGGGAAAAAAACTCGTTTTCCGAATACGAGAAAGTAATAACTCAGTATTTCCGCGGAATGTTAACAAATATATATGTGGAACAAAAATGTCTTCACTTCCCTTAATTCAGGTGGAATTTTCTTTAATGTAGGTGGAATTTTCCTTAATGCAGGTGGAATTTCCGAATACGAGAAAGTAATAACTCGGTATTTCCGCGGAATGTTAACAAATATATGTATGGAACAAAAATGTCTTCACTTCCCTTAACGCAGGTGGAATTTTCTTTAATGTGGGTGGAATTTTCCTTACTGTAGGTGGAATTTTCTTTAATGTAGGTGAAATTTTCCTTAACGCAGGTGAAATTACAGATCACACCTTTGGGAGTGAAACTGTGATTAGCTTAGCCTCACAACCGGTAGGAAATCGTAGGAAATCATTCAACGTGAAATGGGAAAATACTTACTCGATAACTGGATTTATTTCCCATCACTAACAGTGAAATGCATTACATCGTGTAACGCCAACGTATCTGTCGTTACATGCAAGAGCAGCTTCCGGGTCAGACCTGATATCCAAGAAATTTGCATTTGGAAATTTACCGTCTATTTAGAAATCTAAAAATAGCATATCGTTCATTTTCCGCGATTGGCGAGGTATTCGGATAGCGGTTAACTTTAAAATTCTCATTTAAAGTGGGCGGAGGGCGGGCTTGTGTGAGTGTATATATATATATATATATATATATATATATATATATATATATATATATATATATATATATATATATATATATTGTATACGTATTTGTACTAATGAACGCTAAAATCACCTACAAGGCACTTCTTCACCTTGTGTATGTGATCTCTATCCATTTTAAATTGTCTGTTGGATAGTGTCGCGAATTAAAAATCTATAAATAGAACTCGTCTTTTGTAGTCAAATTGCCAATGGTTAAGTTTCATCTCAGCAGTCTGAGTGAAGCTAACGTCGTCAGGAATAGTTTCCCACCCCCGCCACCTTTTGTAGCTGAGATGTCTAAAGACAGGAACAGACCTCACAAATGTTGCATTGGCGCTCTACCACACGGCCACGCCTCTCACAGCATAGTGTTCATTTTTAGTCTTCTTTCCTCTTCTCGATGTATCTCTCTCTCTCTCTCTCTCTATATATATATATATGTAACTAGGGTAGTTACCATACTATGGTTAACAACGTATTACAGTCTGGGGGTCAGTTGATTCATTATATTATTGTGAAGCATTTCTTTTGATTCATGTAATAAAAGGATCAATGGTAAACCTGCATCTTCGAGTATCTATATTGTGGTCGATGTTGTGTA